ATGGACAACTTACTCCACAAAGAGCAAGTTGAGGGAGCTGTAAAGACAGTTTCCCCATGGGGATCAATAAAGCATCTATTATTATTAACCAAACTTTAAGGTTTTTCTTGTGGAAGATTCTCTGGAATAAATATTAGTTTTTATCTTTCTTTTACAAGGAGTACTGTGGAGGTTTTTCTTTTTACAAGTGCGTACACATGAGTAAATAAACTGCTCCAAGTAATGTCAAAGACTTAATTAACAATTGCTAAATTCCCCACATTTGCCTAATTCAGAGTATCAGGGGGGTGGGGGCTCTCTGTCAGGCATTCTTAAGAAGAGGGACACAGATGCAGCAGCCACAGATTTCCACATGTGCTCTGCTTGTCCACAGCTCGTCGGCTTGCAAGTTCCAGGTCCTCGTGTAAGAACAACGGAGAAAATGAGGGTAAAATCCACAAGCGAGCAAGGAGACGGCAAAAAACATAAAAATAAAAATACAGCGTCCTCGAATCCTCAATTCCGTGAGTGGGAACAAATCCAACACAAAACATCCAAGGGTAAAATATATATTAATGGAACCGACTATTTTTTTCCCCCTTCCCTTGCCAATACTGCTACAACAAAATGTACCATCACACATTTATGGGCAATTTGGTTACTCCAATTAATCTCATCATGTTTTTGGAAACCAGAGTACGCAGAGGAAACCCCTCCACAACCAGGGAGAACATGCAAACTTCACAAACTTTGGAATCTAGGCAGAGACATGAACCCTGGTCCCAAAGGTGTGAGGTGACAGTGCTAACCACTGCACCACTGTGCAAAATACGATACATAATTTTTATTGCAGTCTATAGAAGAACTATAACAAGTATCCAACGAGCACTAAACTAAATACACAGACGCAAAACACAAGGGTGTCAGACGTGGAACTGTAAGATGCAAACACAGTGGGAGATTTACACAAGTTAAATGCACGAGGATCGGACAGGGTACACACAAGACACGGGCAAACACACGCGCAAAAATAGGGAAATAGTGTTAATGGTTGTAACAAGAACAAGGGCTATTTACAATTGCATGTGGGGCATGCTGGGACATGTGCCACGCTG